ACAGTGTAGTTATCCATGGTCCTCCTTTTGATTTAGCTCCATAATAGAGGGGAGGGGTGGATGTGAGGGTGTCCTGGTAATTAGGAGAGGTTGGTACAACCGCTTCTTTTCCATCCTCCAGTAAGTTTTTTCTGGAATCAAAGAGATGTGGGTTTGTCTCAGATTCAGCTCTCCTTTAGTCTCAAGTTTTTTTCTGGTGACAGTGAGGCTGCATAGAGCTCCTAAAGTTGCGTTCAATAGGCGCTTATTAAATGGCACCTGCCTTTATCTGAACATTCATTTATTCATAAACGCAATAATAATTTATTGGGCTCCTATGTGATGGGGAACATTCTAGGTGTGGCATCTCAGATGAGGTATATAAGGTCACCATGCTAATTGGCATTGCTGTAAGAGTGACAGACAGAAAATAAACCAATAATGTGATGATTGGTGAAGAGGAGCTATGCATAAAACAAAATAATGTGCACTCTTTTAGAAAGCAGTGGGAGAACTTTAAATCCAGTAGTGAGGGAAATCAGGTTCTGCTTTTGTTGTTGCTGTTGTTAGCAGAGACCCTGAAAGATACAGGTGGTGGCACTGGAGGGAGGCAGATGTTGTTGAAAGAACAGTAAGAAAGAGTAAGGTCGGGGAGCATCATGGGGTCTGGGTCAAAGAGGAACAAGGGAGGTGTGGAGAAGTAAGAGAAGTGATGGGATCAGGCCACGGAGGGCTCTGAGGACTGTGAAGGAGACTTTGATCTTATTTTCAACAACAAGGAGGTATTGTAGGGCCAGGAGAGGGTTAGAGATATTAACTAATTTATGTTTCAAGATGTATGGTCTGACTTGGATGGCACTGAAACTGCTTTTAATGGGTATAAGAGAAGTTGGGAAATCGGCAGGAGGCTTGTTGAGATCAGTGCTTGGCATTTGAAAATCATGTTAACTGTAACTTTTAACAAATTTGATTAACTAATTTGTGTGTACACTTGTGTACCCAGGGGGGACAGAGGACAGAAGACGGCATCAAGAATTCTCTTCTATCACTCTCTGCCTGTTACTTTGAGGCAGGATCCCTCCCTAGACTGGAAGCCGGCAAGCCCCAAGGCCCTCTTGTCTCCCCCCCCCCCACGCTTTTCCATCCAATGTAGAGCTGGCAAAGATTTTCTCCTGCTCTGTTGACTTCCTCTTCACTCAGGTGGCTGTTTCCTTTTCTGAACAGAAACATTTAGTTTAACGAGCTCCCATTTGTTATTTGTTGCCTTTAATTCCTGAGTGACTATAGTCCAATTTATAGTCCTTTCCTGCATGTGTGTCTTGTAGGGGACTGCCTACGTCTTCTAACAGTTTCAAAGTTTCATTGAGGTCTTTGAGCCATTTGGAGTTGACTTTTGTGTGGGGTGATGGATAGGGACCTAATCTCACCCCACAGGTGGAGAGGCAGTTTTTCCAGTACCATTTGTTGAAGATGCTGTCTTTCTCCAGGGTGTGTTTTTGGAAACTTTGTCAAGTATTAGGTGGCTGAGATTAGGTGGCATGTGGGTTTGGATCTTCTGTTTTGTTCCATTGATCTGTGTGTCTGTTTTGTGCCAATAATATGCTGTTTTTATGACTATAGCTCTGTACCAGAATTTGAAATCTGATCTGGTGAGGCCTTCAACATTATTCTTTTTGCTCAGGGTTGCTTTGACTATCTGGTGTCTTTTGTGGTTCCATATGAATTTTAGCATGTTTTTATTTATTTATGTGAAAAATGTCTTGGAGATTTTTATTGTTACCGCATTGAATCTATAAATTTCTTTTTATAGGATGGTGATTTTCACAATATTAATTCTACCAGTCCATGAGCATGGAGGTTTTACAATCTCCTAGTGTCTTCCTCAATAGCTTTCTTCAAAGATTTAACGTTTTCATTGTAGAGATTTTTAATGTCTTGGGTTAGGTTTATTCCTAGATAGTTCTTGAGGCTATTGTGAAATGAGAGTGTTTCCATGATCTCTTTCTCTAATTGCTTGTTACTGGTATATAGAAAGGCTAATGAGGGGCTGGAGAGAACACACTGGAACACACTGATCTGGTGAATGACCTTTTTGATATGTGTCTGTATGCTATTTCCAAGTATTTTACTGAGAATTTTTGCATCAGTGTTCTTTAGGTGTATCGGCCGATAGTTTTCTTGTGTGTGTCTGTACCTGGTTTTGGTATTAGAGTGATACTAACTTTGTGGAAGGAGTTTATGAGTTCCTCCTCCATTTCTATCTTTTTGGATAATTTAAGCAGTGTTGGTTGTAGATCTTCTTTGAAGGTTTGGTAAAATTCTGTTGTGAATCCATCTGAACCTGGGCATTTTTTAGTCGTGAGGCTTTGTATTAGAGTTTTGATCTCCATATTTGTTATGGGTCTGTTTAAGTTGTTGATCTTCTTTGTTTAACTGTGGTGGTTCCACTGAATATAGAAATTTATCCATTTCTTTTAGATTTTTCTAAATTAATAGAGACTAATTTTAAAGTATTCCCTTACAATGTTCTGGATTTCTTTGATGTCTGCTTCAATGTTTTCCTTTTCAGCTCTGATTTTATTGGTTTGGATTTGTTCTTTCTTTCTTTCTGTTAGTTGGACTAAGTGTTTGTCTATATTATTTATCTCTGTACAGAACCAGCTCTTTGATTCATTGATTCTTGGTATTGTTTTCTTTGTTTCTGTTTCATTGATTTCTTCTCTGCTTCTTTTTAAATCACTTCATCTCATCTTGGTTTGAGTTGGTTTGTTCTTGTTTTTCCAGATTGTTAGTTGTACAATTAAGTCGTCTATTTGTGCTCTTTCTGACTTTTTGACGTAGGCACTTAGTGCTTTGAGCTTCCCTCTTAGGACTGCTTTTAAAGTGTTTCTGAGATTTTGTTGTGTTCTGTTTTCATTTTCATTTAGTTCCAGGAATACTTTTATTTCTTTCTTGATTTCTTCTTTGATTCCTTCATAATTCAGGAGTGTATTCTTTAATCTCAATGGGTTCTTGTAGTTACTAGGCTTTTTTTTTTGCTGTTGATTTTAAGTTTTATTATGTTGTAGTCCAATAGAAAACATGTCATCTTTTTAACTTTTTAGTATTTGTTGAGGTTTGTTTTGTGCCCCAATATGTGGTCTGTTTTAGAGAAATTTCCATAGGCTGTTGAGTAGAATGTATATTCTTTGTTGCTTGGGTGAAATATCCTGTAGATGTCTGTTAGGTCCATTTGATGTATGTTATCCTTCAATTCAGATGTTTCTCTGTATTCTTTGTCCAGATCACCTGTCTATTGGAGAAAGGGGAATATTGAAATGACCTACCATTCCTGAGTTGGGGTTAATCTGTGTCTTCAAATCTGGTAGTATTCTTTTTTGTGAAACTGGGTGCACTAGAGTTTGATGTATATATGCTCATGAATGTAATGACTTCTCAGCCAACTTTTCCCTTGTTCTCTCCAGTCCTTGAACTTCATTTAAATAGAAGCAAACGTAAACAAAACTTGTTTTCGTGCCAGCATTGTTAGTGATTTTCATTGTGTTGTAGGTTATAGCCGCAGATCGTTTTCATTGTTGCATAAGATTCAATGGGACGAATCTCCCTCTGCTTATTCTGTTTATGTGCAGATGAAGATTTTATTAAGAAGGATTCCATGAATATTCTGATTTGTTTAGTGAGATATGTATGTATTTTTTGTTTCTGCAAATATTTGGAGATAAAGTTGCTCTGCACGTGTAGATTGTTTCAAGAAATATGGCTGGTTCTCCATATATGTAGATTCTCCACCCACAGATTCTACCAGCTAAAAAACACTTGAAAAAAAAATGCACCCAGAACTAGGTGTGGTTCACACATGAAATCCTAGCAGTTGGCAGGAGGATCGTGAATCTCAGACAACTTAGGCTGCTTAGTGAGTTCCAGGTCAGCCTGGTTTATATGGCAAGAACTTGTTTCAAAACAAAAATCCTTCTAGAGTTGGGTGTTGTGGTGCACGCCTTTAACCCCAGCACTTGGAAGGTAAAAGGTAGGTGGATCTCTGCAACAGTGAGGCTAGTCTGGTCTCCATAGTGAGTTCTAGGCCAGATGGGGCTACAGGGAGACCCTGTCTTAAAAAAGATAGAATAAATAAAATATCTATATATTCTTAGCTTTATTTCCTAAATGACAGAATACACTGCCCATTTTCATAACATTTAGTTTCTGCTAGCTACATGGCAATATAGAGATGACATAAAGTTTACAAGAAGATGACAGTGCAAACGTATGCAAACATATGCAAACATGGCACCATTTTATATAAGGCATTTTAGCCTTGGAATGATCAACTCCCTTTAGATGCCAAGAGATGATGGTATTTGCCTGTCAGTTTCCCAAATGGATGTTTGGTAGTCATGACTCACACTCCAGACCATCACTAGGGACCATCATCATAGGGACCATCATTTCCCCTTCCCATCTAACCCAGTGGGTGGGACAAGGTCATTTTATCAGAAAACTGCCTGGACACAGAAAACAGGTTGAAGGTGTGTCACAGGAACGCAAATTCTTGGAGATGCCAGAGAGATCTGGCCAGACTGAAGGTTATGGGCAGAAATACATATGCATAAAACTTTATCTGTATACATATACATAAAATATATTATATGTATATATAGTTTGTTTACTTTGAGACAGGGTTTCCTGTAGCTCAGGCTCATCTGCAACTGGATATGTAGCTAAGAATGACCTTGAACTATATGGATCCTTCTGTTTTCACATTCCCAGTGCCAGGGTTACAGGCACATACAAATCCCACCCCCCACGCCAACTCCACTGAACTGATTACTGATCAGGACATGCAATCAATATCAATCATTGCAGACCTTGGGTGGGAGGGGCATTAAACTCTTCAATTTCTGGATCGCCACAGTTGATGAAGAGTGACCTGGACAGGAGGTACCCAATTACCAATCTGTATCTAAGTGTTTTCACAGTTTAACAATAAAGTGCGTGCTGACTGCCGTCCTTATACTTGGCAGCTTCGAGAAAAATATGGAGATGTGTTCACGGTCTACCTGGGACCGAGGCCCGTGGTCATGCTGTGTGGGACAGAGGCCATAAGGGAGGCTCTGGTGGACCAAGCCGAGGCTTTTTCTGGCCGGGGGACAGTTGCTGTGGTTGAGCCAATTGTACAGGGATATGGTGAGATACAGGATGGGGTAGGGTGGAGGACGGGCAGGTGAGCCTGGGGTGGGGAAGGAGCTGTGTTTCTTCTTTGAGCTTCTTCTGTAACCTATCCTCTTCCCCTCCATCCCGAGGAGTGATCTTTGCCAATGGAGAACGCTGGAAGGCCCTTCGACGATTCTCTCTGGCCACCATGAGGGACTTCGGGATGGGGAAGCGGAGTGTGGAGGAGAGGATTCAGGAGGAGGCGCAGTGTCTGGTGGAGGAGCTGCGAAAATCCCAGGGTGAGTGCCAGAGCATGGGGAGGAAAGGAAGATGGAGAGACAGGGACATGGTGTGCACAGCAAAAGAATGAGGAAGAGGGATTCAGGGGACAGGGAAAGAGGAGAGAGAACGTCTAGGGATGGATTTGCAAAGGAATCAGAGGAGACAGACAGGTGAGACTCAGAGATGATCTCCGACCTGATGTTCTTGAGCAGACAGCGGCCCTCCCAACTTCGGGAGCCGTGACTCAATGAGGCATACACAGGCAACAAGCCAGTTAGGATTCCTGGAGTACCAAGGAGCCTCGATGTCAGGAGAAGGGATGAAGGACAACTGACAGAGTGGATTGAGCCTTTTTAAAAATAATTTCCATAAGCAAGTTTGTTTTCCATTTTAATATTTTTATTGTGTTTTTGTGCATTTCATATAATACATCTTAATCAAATTTAGACTCCTTCCCCCTCCCTACCTCCCTTAAGCTGCCCCCCAGGAGATTTCAGGTATTCTGTTATATATGTTAAGTCTTATCTTGTCCTTCAGTGCAAGTTCATCCACTGGTGTCTAGTTAGCCTATCTAGACTCACTCCCTTAAAGAAGATCTACTCCCTTCCACCCCACAGTAATCTTTTGTCAATAGTTCCTTGGCTAAGGTTATGGCCTGATGCCTTGTTCTAAGTTGGGTTTTTGTCTGATAGAGTCGGCTTGGGTCTTGTGCATGCTGTCAGCATTGCTGCAAGTTCCTATGAACAAGTTCCCAGTGGCCAGAAAGCCTGTTTCCTTATGTTCACGCACCAACCCTGGTTCTTACAGTCTTTCTGCCCCCTCTTCTGCAATGGTCTCTGAGCTATGGGTGATGGACTGAGTTCCTAAATTTGCACAAACAACCCACTATCCATTTCTCTGCACCATTACTGTCAGTAGGACTTAACTCTATTAGCTCATAGTGTCAGAATAGGGGCATTGGAAGAGGTACAGGGTGGAGACTAACTACACAGGTTCCACCTCTCAGCTCCCTGGGTCTGAATCCTGGCCCTATTCATGGTATCTGTGTTACTTGGTCAAGTTGGGGAATGGATGTCATATGAAAATAGAATGGCATCTTCTTTTCAATGTTGTGGGAAGATTAAATAAAACGATACATGAAGCATTTACAGTAGAGCCTGGCACACGATACGTGCTGTTGGGTGTTGGCTCTTATCTCTATTCTTTGGCTAGTGAGTTTGGGGGGAGGGGGAAATGTCACAGAGAGGGCACCGAAGCTGTCCCCCAGGTCCTTGATTCCACATCTCCTGCTCTACCTTCTCATCCTCCAGGAGCCCCCCTGGATCCCACCTTCCTCTTCCAGTGTATCACTTCCAACATCATCTGCTCGATTGTCTTTGGAGAACGCTTTGACTACAAAGACCAACAGTTCCTGAGGCTGTTGGACCTGTTCTATCAGACCTTCGCCCTCATCAGCTCCTTCTCCAGCCAGGTCGGGGGAGGGAAGAGGAGAACCTCTGGGCAGAAGGAAAAGAAAGGCTGCTTTGGGGGTGCAGAAGGAAGTGTCTTAGGGTTGGATGAAGGGTAGAGGCAACATGGGGGGACAGAAAGGCTGAGATCTGGAAGGAGGGAGGCATGGTGAACCAGAAGGAGAGATGGGAGAGGCAGAAATATAGAGCCAGAGAGATATATGAAGAAAGTGGGGGTTTGGCGGCTGAGGGTGTAGCTTAGTTGGTAGAGGACTTGTCTAGCATGCATGAAGCCCTAGGTTCATCCCCAGCACCATGTAACCTAAGTGTGGCTGCATCTATCTATAAATCCTGGTAGAAACAGGGAGATAGAAGTTCAGGGTTATCCTTGGCTACATATCAACTTTGAAGTTATCCTGGGATACATGAGAGCCTGTGTAAAAGAAACCCTAGAAAACAAGCAACATGTGGGCCTGGATGAGAGAACAGAGGAGAGGAGAAGAGAGGAAAAGGGAGATCATAATTCAGAAGTGTGCATGTGTATGTCTGCGTATGAGAGATGCATGTGTGTGAAAGAGGGCAGAGAGAGATACACATGGAGAAAGAGAGAGAGGAAAGAGAGAATGAGGAGAGAGAGAGTGAAATATGGACCCTATGAGCCCTGCCTGCTTGCTGAGAGCTGATTGCCCCAGGTGACCTCACAGGTCCTTCTTTTTTGTAGATGTTTGAGCTGTTCTCTGACTTCCTGAAGTACTTTCCTGGTAGCCACAGGCAAATTTTCAAGAACATGCAAGAAGTCCTCACTTACATTGGCCATAGTGTGGACAAGCACCGGGCAACCTTGGACCCCAGCGTTCCAAGAGACTTCATTGACACCTACCTTCTGCGCATGGAGAAAGTAAGATCTGCATGGATGACTAGGGAAAGGGGTGTGAGTGAAGGATGCAGATGTGAGGAGAGGAAAACGGGATGGGGGAACAGAGTGGGAAAGAGAGGTAGGAAAATGGAGGGAGGAGCTGTGGAAGGAACAGAAAAATGGACAAAGGAAGAGAAAGTAAAATAAGGGGGAGGGAGGGAGAGAGGGAGAAAGAGGCTGAGGGTAAAACACAGTGCAAGGGACAACATGTAGGAAATGCCCACAGAAATGGGACTGGAGAGAAGTTCAGTGGTGTCTTAGTTTGTTCTTCAATGCTGTAACAAAATACTCTGACCTCTACCAACTTGGGGAGGAAAGGGGTTATTTGTCTTACATCTCCTGGATCACAGTTCATCAGGGAGCCCAAGGTAGGAACTCAGGGCAGGAACCTGGAGGCAGGAGCTGGAGCACAGGCCATGGAGGAACGCTGCTTCCTGGCTTGCTCCCCTGGCCCCTGCTCAGCCTGCTTTCTGATGCAACACAGGCCCACCTGCCCAGGGGTGGCACCACCCACAGTGGGCTGGGCCCTCCAACATCACTCATCAAGAAGATGCCCCTCAGACATGGCCAAAGTCCAGTCCAATGGAGGCAACTCCCCAATTGAGGCACCCTCAACCAGGTGTGTAAAGTTGACACTAAAGCTATCCACTACAAGTGGTGAGGAGCATTTACTGCTATTCCAGAGGGCCTGAGTTCCGTTCCCAGCACCCACATCAGTTGGTTCATAAGCACCATGATACCAGCTCCAGGGGACCTGATGCTCTCTTCTAACCTGCTTGGGTGCTTACACTTGTGGCAGACACACACATGCATACATACATACAGATAAAAATAAATTTTTTCTTTTCAATATATATTTTTATTGAATTTTGTGCATTTCATACAATAAATCTTAATCATATTTGGACCCCTCCCCTATCTGCACCCCCCATAGCTCCCAGATGGATTTCATGCATTCTGTCATATATGTTAAGGCTTATCGAGGCAGATCTGTGTTCTCCATGTCCCTTGGTGTAAGTTCACAACGGAAGCCTGTTCAGCCTATCTAACAAATTCTAGCACATCTGGGGTGCCATCCATCCTCCCGTCCTCCTACCCACCCATCTGTTCATCTACCCATCCATCTATCCAAACTTTTGAGACAAGGAATGTATACACCCATCCATCTATCCATTCTTTTGAGACAAGGTCTCACTATGCAGCCCTGGCAGGCCCAGAATTTGCTATGTCACTCCTTAAAGAAGACAAACTCTCCCTCACTCATCTTAATAAAGAAAACCCATAGAGAAGAAAGACATAAAGTAAGAAATGTACCAGAAAGGAAGAGAGTCAGATGAAGAAAGAATGAAGAGAGGGTAAGAGACAGAGATGAATGGTCTCATCTGTGAAGACAGAGAAATGTGAAGTGCGATGTGACAGTGTGAAGAGCAAAGGACGGTGCCAGAAAGGTGCGTGCCTTCCTGCAGCGAGGATCCAGTCTCTGACCCTCCCGTCTCTCTGTCACACGGAACCAGGAGACATCCAGCCGGCACACGGAGTTCCACCACCAGAACCTCATCATCTCTGTGCTGTCTCTCTTCTTTGCCGGCACAGAGACCAGCAGCACCACACTCCGCTACGGTTTCCTGATCTTGCTCAAATACCCTCATGTTGCAGGTAGGTTGGAGATAGCCAGCTGGGAGGGTTTTCTTACTCATTCTGGGCTACAGAGGTTGGGCATGGGTGAGAGAGATGACATCGCCCCTTTATTTCTGGAGCTCTGCATGCTTTCATCTAGTTATAAACTAAGCCAGCCCTACTGGTGGTGGGTGAGTGAACACTCCACTAACCTGTTCTTCCACTGTTTTCTCCCCTCACTTAAAGGTTGACCCATGCACCCACCCATCCACCTACCCATTCATCCATCCACCCACCCACCCACCTACCCATCTACCCATCCACCCACCTATCCATCCATCCATCCATCCATCCACCAACCCATCTATCCATCCATCCATCCATCCATCCATCCATCCATTCACCCACCCACCCATCCACCCATCCATCCATCCACCCACCCATATATCCATCCACTTACCTGTCTATCCATACATCCATCCACCCATCTATCCACCCACCCACCCACGTATCCATCGATACACCCACCCATCTATCCATCCATCATCCATCCATCCATCCATCCATGCATCCATCCAGTCACCCATCCATCCATCTATCCATCCACCCACCCATCTATCCATCCGTCCATCCATCCATCCACCCCTCCATCCATCTACCCACCCATCCATCTGTCTATCCATCCACCCACCCATCTGTCTATCCATACATCCATTCACCTATCTATCCACCCACCGACCCACCTATCCATCAACACACCCACCCATTCATCCATCCATCATCCATCATCCATCCATCCATTCATGTATACACACATCCAACCTCCCATCTATTCATCTACTCACCTATGTATGCATTCATCCATCAATCCATCTATCCATTTTTTTGAGACAAGGTCTCACTATGTAGGCCTGGTTGTCCTAGAATTTGCTATGTAGATCAGGCTGGTCTCAGATTTAAAGAGATCCATCTGCTTCTGCCTCCCAAATGCTGGGATTTAAAGGCATGCTCCCTGACAAAATTTTTTTTAACCAAAAGATTGCAGCAGGGGCTAGAGAGATGGCTCAGAGGATAAGAGTGAGTACCAGCAGATGAACACAGTTCAGTGTGTCTACACACAGAAAACGAATTAAGGAAAAATATTTAATCATAGATCACCATAACATATAGAAATAAGTTTGGAATATTGTAAAAATTACCAAAATGTTACACAAAATCACAAAGTCAGCACAGTGCATTACCTGTTAAATGCAATAAACAAAGTATGCCTGTAATTTGCTACTTCTTGCTTTTTTTTTTTCCCCTCGGTCTTTTTGAGAAAGAGCCTCCCTGTAGCCCCAGCTGGCCTGAACTCACTGTGTAGACCAGGCTGGCCTTGAACTCCCAGAGATCTGCCTGCCTCTGCTTCCTGAGTGCTGGGATTAAAGGTGTCATGCCCGGCTGCTACTTGCTTTTTAAAAGAAAACAATATCCTCCATTTATCGATGCATTTAATAATTCATCCATCTGTGATCTATTTATCTTTCAATCCATCTATCTAGTTATTCCTGTGTTTACTCATACCTTCACTAACTTACTCATTCATACAGTCTTCTGCTGTATGTAACATTCACTTGATTGAGTTCATTGATGTATTTGTCTATGGATCCTTTATGGATTTATTAATTGATTAATGTAATGACAGATATATTTAATACATATACCTATTATTTTGTTTATTTGAGTCCTTTGTCAATCTTCCCATTAACTAATTAATTAATGTATCATTGCTTGATTGACTTATGTGCTCACTTTTTTTGGTCTTTTTGAGACAGGGTCTCCTTATAGTCCCAGCTGGCCTGGAACTCACTGTGTAGACCAGGCTGACCTCGATCTCACAGAGATATACCTGACTCTGCCTCCCAAGTATTGGGACTAAAGGTCTGCACCACCACTCCCAGATGTTCCCACATTTTTAAAAATTGAAAGTGTTTATTGTTATTGTGAGCGTACATGCCACAACACATGTGTGGAGGTCAGAGGCAACTCTGTGGAGTTTATTTTCTCCTTCTACCTTTATGCCGGTTCTGAGGATTAAACTCAAGTCACCAGGCTTGTATGGAAAGTGCCTTTACCAACTGAGTCATCTCATTGGCCCATGTATTCATATTTTGCATGCAGCTGTAGATAAAGTTGATCTACTTTGCTATTATATTCCTGAGGACCTAGCTTTAGGTTCTCATCCTGGAGTTTTAAGTACAAAAATCCAAGCCAAATCATGCCGTGTGTCTATGTGTGTGCGTCTGTGAATGTGGGACGGCAATTTGTAACATTTATTACATTTCAAAGAATGAGAATTCTTACTAATTTTTACCTCCAACCCTCACTCCAGATTGTTGCTCTGAGGGATACTCATGAAATAACCCATTCTTTGGTTTTTCTCTTTCTCTTTATGGAGCTTATGGGGATGAGCTTCTAATATAGCGTTAAGCATGGCCACTCAGAGACAGATGCCTAAAGAGCACCGAACGCATAGAGGCCAGGAGTGGGCTGCAGGTTTCCCGGGAGAGCCACCTTGCTGTGTAGGCTTTTTCTGGGTTATGGTATCACAGAGAACATTGTAACTGCCGCAATGCCTGTGAAGCGGGTTCACTGTTCTCCTTCTCTGTGCAGAGAAAGTCCAAAAGGAGATTGAACAAGTGATTGGCTCACACTGACCCCCAAACCTCGATGACCGCACCAAAATGCCATACACTGAGGCAGTCATCCAAGAGATTCAGAGATTTTCAGACCTTCTCCCGATTGGTGTGCCACACAAAGTCACCAAGAACACTCTATTCCGGGGGTACCTGCTCCCCAAGGTGAGACCATGGGATTCCACATCTCTTTGATAGAAGCATCCTCCCTTCTCCTAAGTCCCCATCCCAGCCTGTTGGTAGCTTGTCTACAGAGTTTCCCTGTTTTTATTTATTTATTTATTTATTTATTTATTTATTTATTTATTTATTATTTAT